TACACAGCGCAACAACCCAGAAGACAGAAATCTTCATACTCACCGCTGTGAAAACCTCAAATCTTACATAATTATAATTCATTAATATCTTGCAGTTTTAATTTTTTAGGGAGACGAAATTAATTTGGGCGGAATTCGTGAGAACATGTCAAAGAAGATGGAGCAAGTACACAAATTTTTATCAGAAAGTTTGAATAGAAGTGACCATTTTGGAATTCTAAGCTTAGATGTAAGGATAATATTAAAACGGATCTTAGAGAAACAGTTTGTGAGGGTTTGGACTGGATTAACCTGTCTCAGGATGTTCTTCAGTAATGTGGGCGTTGTGAAAATATTAATGAACCTGCAGCATCAATAGAATGCAGGGAATTTCTTGATAAACTCTGCTGTAATAAGTTTCTGCACAATGTAGGAGTTAGTTAGTAAAAATTCTCTTACTTTACCACATGTTGTGACGCTAAATCGTTTCGAGGAAACAAAGAAAACATTACGTCAGTTGTCTGAGTGTCTACGTCTGTTAAGAGGAGCAGCTTCCATGACCGAATGTTAATTGTTAATTCTAATTACTTAAATTTCAATCTCAACATTTTTGTCGAAAGTTTGACAAAATCATTTATTTTGCTTTAGGAACAAAATTAATTTTCAAATAATAATATTCACGTGACTCAGAAACAATCTGGGTACAATTTGTTGAAATCTATGGAGAAACAAATTTTTCGCCTTAAGACCTTTATTCTTACGCAGTCAACTCTGTCTCAAGATTATTTTATATAATAATTAAAGGAAATCATTATTTCCTCCTGAATTTCTCAAACATTGTCACGAAGGTAACAGATTATATCCCACATGTACCTGTTTTGCTACAACTTTAAATTACACATTTCGGTATTGAAAGTTTAAGGTAGTTCTGAACAAAAACCCGTCTTCTCTGTTTTTCAAATTGCCAGAACAGCTAGCTCATAACGTTGTACATCTCGATAAACTTTCAACCGAGATTTTTAGGAGCATATCGTAAAAATGTGGCAGCTCTCCGTCCGTTAGTTTACAAACAAACAAAGCCTTTATTGGCAAAGACGTAGTAAAATTTGGTGTCTAATTAAGTTTATTGAAATGCATCGATAAATTTAAACTTAATTTCAACGAAGTTGTAAAACCAAATTTAATCTCTTATCAAACAACCAAAATTTTCCATGTTTGATCGCATATATTTTAAATCTAATTAAAATTCTGATGCATTTTGTTAAATTAAATTCACATCGAAAAATATTCCAAGCAATGTCGTACTAACAATATTTGCATTCATGCGCCAACTTTTGATACTTATAACAATTTTTAGAATATTTGTGGAGTTAGATATGAGCCTCAGTTAGAGGTTATGTTCGACTGATATGGAACGTAACTAAATAAGTTTCGCTTTAAAGTCAACCTGTAATTCAAAATGTCGTTGACATCGCTTTAGTAGATGAAACGTGCGAACATAATGCCACTAAATCTCCTGAATAACATAGAATAATTATCAGTAATTCATTTTTCCTTTTAACTAACACCATACATCAGAGTCCTTCATGAGAAGCTATTTTTCCTAATAACTTTCCCCATACATCAGAGTCCTTCATGAGAAGCTGATAGTCGAAAAGCTGCTTGAGAAACTATCCGCTTTTAATCGAAAAGAAATTTGATTTCCGTTCTTATCAGACCTTGCTACTGAACTTTAAAATAAGTAATTTTAATCCAATTCACATATTAACGTCTTATTTATTTAAAATTTATTTAAAAGGTATTATTTCCTGCTTGATTTCATATCCAACGTGTATTCGTACACCTTTAGATTTACCTACAAAAAAATCTGAAAGAATTTCTCGTCTGTTCGATGCATTCTAGACGTCTCGCCCATTACATTCTCTTTTATATAATTACTCTTTCAATACTTAGTTTGCAGTTTTAGTTATGAGACTCGTAATTACCTTGCTGTATATTCTCTTGAGAACTGTTTTCTCAGAGACCCTTAATTTACAGTAATTTGCTGTAACAAAGTAATCTCGGTATGGGACTTACCGCTGTTAACGTCACCATATCGACCGAGATCGCCGAAAGCGGTCAACGCTCGTGCCTGCTGAGCGACCAAGATGAGGGCGAAGACGACTGAACTCTGCCTTGCGAACTTCATGTCTCCTCCCTAGCCAGGAAAAACTGCACACCGGCACACCAGTGTCAGGGTCGCTGGCGTCGGTTATATTTATAAGGATCCCCACCCGAGATCACACTCCCCTGTTTCTCCCTTCTGCAGTAAAAGAGCAAATTCGCACAAGCTGCCAAAAGAGGGACGCATTAATATCAAAGAACCTTAACCCCACTTTTGTCGGATTAATGCAGTACCGTACGGCTACGTTCAGAAGCCATGAACTTGAGGGGGCAGGTTTAAAATACCATCGATTTATCAGACTCTTAACTTGTAAAACTCCGCCTTGCCTGTCACGTGCTAGTGTATCCAAAGGCGTTTGTACAAAATAATCAAAAGATAGCCAATATGTAAAAGTAATTGCTATTTGTAAATGTTGTAGGTTTGAACATGACCAATGAAAGCGTTTCAAGGATCTGTAAGATGATTGGATGAATGTAACGTGAGTAGCCAATGGGACTGTGTTTTGGTATCGTCATGTTGTGATGTCATGGACCACGTAACCAGTGAATAACCCGGACAAGGACGTAGGTAATCTTCGCGCCAGTGCACTGTGCGTGTTCTCATGACGAGGGCGACCACCTCGTGCGACATTCTACTTCGTCTAGTTCGCAAAGTACGTGCAATTGTCAGGTGGTTATTTCTTCGTGGCTCGTATCTCACCCTCTGCATGACTTCTAGAAAATATGCCAGAAAAGCCCTTGATCGTTGCATTGATAGGATGAAGATTTTTGCTAAGTTCAGTACAGAATTTTGATATGGCATTAAATAAGTGGAACACGAATCGTGGTGTTTCATTATTGTACGTCGCCTTTAATCGAATGTTCTACCCGTAAGCAAACTGTAACAAAAGTGTAATCGACGCACATGTAATCGAGATAAGATAGTGTAATTGCGTCATATTGTGAATATTCTAACAATTATTTATTTTTATTTTATAAAACCATAAAAACTGAAACATGTTGTGTAAAGGATGTTCCAAAATGTAAATCGATCAATCGATATGGAACATCAATGATATTTTATTATCTTAATTATAAGAAATTTTAAATATTGTGATATGACGGATTAAAATAAATAAATGTAATCGAGATTCCGCCAAGAAAATATTTAAAAAAAATCACAGAATGTAGAATGAATATTTAATAGAAAATGCAGGTTTTTGTCAACTAGGTTTCACGTACTGGCACTTGATATTAAAATTTTAGCTCCGCTCGGCGTTTTAAATAGTGATATAAGAATATTAATTATTTTTTAGCTAATACATGATAAAGATATAATAAAATAACAAACAAGCAAGGTAAAAGTTCGAAGAAAATACAAAGGAGACACCTGAAAGACAGATTTAACTTCTCACAGCAGTTTAATTTTAAAAGAGAGTATGTATATGAAGAGCCACGGTGGTCTAGCGGTTAGAACGCTGGCCTTGTAATCCTGGGGTCTCGGGTTCGATTCCCGGCGGTGCCCGAATTTATAACTTGTGTTGGGCAAGGCCGTGGTCTAGGCAACACGGAGTTTTCCTCCATGGCATCCCAACAATTACTCCATTCACACACACAGAAGAAGGCAATGGCAAACCACTCCTGGATCATCTGCCAAGAACGTATATGAACAGGTCCCAGGCCGAGAAAAGGAGGGAAGGATCCTGTTCATAATGTCGCCAACCTCCTGTAAAGGAGACGGCGTAATAAAGACCAAGGACGTATATGAACAGGTCCCAGTCCGGGACAAGGATGGAAGGATCCTGTTCATATGGACCTGTCGTCAGACAGAACACTAACTAATAATAAGATGAGGTGGTCTAGCGGTTAGAACGCTGGCCTTGTAATCCTGGGGTCTCGGGTTCGATTCCCGGTGGTGCCCGAATTTATAACTTGTGTTGGGCCAGGCCGTGGTCTAGGCAACCCGGAGTTTTCCTCCGGGGGCTTCTTCCCCGGTTTCTCCGTGGCATCCCACCAATTACTCCATTCACACACAGAAGAAGGGAATGGCAAACCACTTCTGGATCATCTGCCAAGAACGTATATGAACAGGTCCCAGTCCGAGAAAAGGATGGAAGGATCCTGTTCATATGGACCTGTCGTCAGACAGAACACTCAATAATAATAATAAACGTATATGAGCTACATTAATTAATCTAAGCTTTAAAGACAGAAGAGGTTATTCAGCTCAGATAATTTTACCGTTATGAACTATACAATAAAATAGTTGTTATTTGGTGAAGCAAATAAGTGAATAAGATATTTAAAATATCAAATCTTACAAGACATTTCAACTTTCTAACCCAGGATCTGAATGGCGAGACCTGAAGAAGGAATGTCCATAATTCGGCTTTCCGGTTTCCAAACAGTGGTCTTACTTAACTGAGGTCTCTTTGTGAGCATAGCCATGTATAACGCTGGTACTTTTCCATTGTACTGAATATAAATCACTAAGAGAGCGTAAAGAATAGATTAATAAGGAAAACACGCCTTAAAAGTGAACGTATCGTATGTTTCTTCTGTTTGCGAGCAGAACATTTAAAATTACGTGAATTTTTTTCAGTAACATTACTTTCCTTGATTGCCGTAAGGATCATCGCGTGCGACCAATGACCACGCAGAATTGAGGCCGGTCGATTGTTTCCGTTTTGTCCCAGAGGGAAACTCATGGCCGAGTCAGTCGGATTGATTGATTGCTTGATAACTGTGTTTTTAGTCGTTTAAGTTGTCGGAATTGGTCTTTTTTCTGTGATTAAAATTGAAATCCACGTTGAAAGTACACTATCTAGAATGGTTAAATGCTCCACGTTTCGAGAGTTAGGTTAGTGTTTGCACTGGGGATGTACCATCGTGAGATTCGGACTGGGAAAGTGTTAGGCTGCACACCCCAATCCATTCCATTTTTGAAAAATTCTTTACATTTTTAAAATGCCGTGTTCATCATAGACGTCAATGTTTAGACGAAATGGCTTCTTCCTTACTAATTAAAATATCCTTTGTTTAAATAATTCTTATAATATAGAATGTAACTTTCGTTCTTCCTGGACCATCTTTGAAATACGAGTCTTAAATTCTTACAGCACTTGGTCAGAATCTTCGTCTGAATTTTTGTTATACCTAGAATATTATTAAACTGTTGATCCTGTCTAATACTTTTATTTCTATTTTTACCATTCACATTAATCTTGAAAGAAGGTGAGATTTCACTCATCGCTCTGATGATGAAGATAGCAAGGACCTTTAAAACGTGGGCAAAATTCTACCAGACTGCACAGCTTAACATTTCAGAAGACAGTCATCTGCAGCCTTAAGAAAATAATTTCTTCAAATTTCTTTCGTCTTTCAACAGTGCCGAAACGTCCATTCATTTGATGGAGGAGACTAACACGTTTTATAAAATCTCATCTTTTAAAACTTGTCCCTTAACTTTACTCTCGTAGTCCTCATTTTTTAAAGTTATTTCCTTCCCAAAATAAATGAAGTAATTGTCTTATATTTTATTCAGAGGGAATTTTTGTAAATAATATTCATATATTATTAGCGTTACAAGTCAATTTCAAAGGGTACTGACGATAGTGTGCTACAATCGGGATCGCTAAATTCTAGGACCATGGACTTCGTCTGTTTTTTTAAAAAGGACACTACGTTTATCGGTTGATGGATCTGCTTTCGTCCTGTGATTAAAAAAGGAGATACAGTGATTGAGATTAGCTCGTTCTGTCGGAACCAACTGAGTAGGTGCCTCTCCCCCCCTGCTGGGGAAACCCAGGCACTTTACCTTCTGACTTGTGTCAACTACCTCTGGAGAAGATTTCTAGATATCGTAAGGATTGTGATTGCCATGTCACTGACAGATAAGGATTTCTGTTCGCTCTCGTAACACGACGTTAATGATAATACACAGGATAATTATAAAGTAGTAATTGTCTGTTTTTAGCTTATAATTAATTTTAAAGACAGAAAATTTGTTGGCACGGGACTGGTACTTAAACCTGAAGATGGCTGCTTCTGGGTTCTTGCGCCGTGCAGTATAGAAGAAGTTTACCGACGTTTCTGAGGTGTTTTATGATGTCATTATGAGGATCACCGCCTTTATGACGTAAGCAGGAAGCACCTCTACAAGGAAACACGGCACAACAGCTCAGAAGACAGCCATCTTTAAAACCTGAACTATAAAACATTTTAACCCAGTTTTCACGTTTATTTAGAGCTATATATTTTGTATATAATTGAATGATTTATATTTCGTAGTTTTCATAAATTCTTAGGGATGTGTCAAATGTAGCTTGTATTCCTTTTTCAAAAGTTCAGTTTGAAACAAAATATCATTACGGAATCAGTCTTCTTCCATTCGCAGTAAGTTTCCACTACTTGGTTGCCTTTTTGCTGTATTTGTATTTTATACGAAAGGCCCGGTGGTAAATATATTTTCCTGGTTGCAGGTTCTCAGTTACTTCTGCAAATTTCGTGAAAATTCGCTGTCTTTACCTTAAATATATTTCAGACGCTGCGTGTTATGTGTAAACCAGTCTTTCAAGTCGATCTGGTCTTGTTCGCCGTCGGCAGTTGCTAAGAGATTCCATCCTGTCTTATAGAGAAGCTTCGTCGGCCAAGGAAACAGATTCACTTTCCTTACAATTGTCTGTTTCTGCAGTTCAGCTCGTCACATTGACAGGAAATTGAGAACGGTTCATGTCGAGACGTCGAAACCTGATGGCTTATACCGTGGTACATAGAACTCGAAAGTCCAATCAAATACCAATTCCCGTCATTGCAAACGATCAATTCCACCGCCCTCTGATCCTTAGAACTAAGAAGCATCTTAATTGTATCCTCTTATCTTCTTCTCTGGTTTTCAAGGGAGTATTTTTCAGGAGGTTTTCTTAAATAATTCTATATTCTTCGTGTCCCAACATAAGCACCTAGCTAGCGCATTACAGACTATAAATTTCAGTGTCCTAGCAATTCTTAGACATCTGTGTACGTCACGAAATTTCCCGTTTTGCTCCCGGTGCTAACTTATTTCATCCTTAGATAAAATATTTCAGGAAATGGTGTTTATGTCGGGCTACCAGAACGGTGGTCAGACACAATCGCCTAGGTTTCGGAGCTACTTGAAATGAAGACAGTAAATTCGATACGTTATTCAATTGTCAGGACTTTTTCCATCGTCTGTTATTTAAAACCACGACGTTTCGGAGGCTGTTTCTGTATCCGAAACGTCGTGGTTTTAAAGAACCGACGATGGAAAAAGTCCTGACAATGAATAATTTTAAGTGTAAACTACCGTC